TCGGCTGCCGTTGAGGCGAGGGAGGCCCCGCGGGCGGCCGGGCCGGGTCCGCGCTGCCCCCAGGCCTCTCCCGGGGCCGGAGCGACCTTGTGCGCAGGGCGCTGTCCCCGCCGGCTCCGGGAGGGAACTTGTTCGGCTTTGTCTTGAAATTCGCCTTAATTTCATTTCATCTCTGACGTGTGGGCTCCCCCCCGCCCTCCAGCTCGGATTGAAATCCCCGTAGGCCGGAGACTGGCCTTAACGGAGTGTAACCCGCCGTTTTGGGGCCGTTCTTCCTTCCCGGCCTCCTGAAGGAGAGGATGTGTCCTGCCGGGAGTGTCGGCCTCGCAGGAGTAACCCGCCGATTTGGGGTCGTTCTTCCTTCCCGGCCTCCCGAAGGAGAGGACGTGTCCTGCCGGGAGTGTCGGCCTCGCAGGAGGGGCTCGGGGTCCCTCGGGCCCCGCTCTGTCACCGGGCTCAGGCGTTTCTGATGTCTTTGGCTTAAAGTGAGGGAGAGAAATCCCTCGAAATGGTACGTGATACTCTCCTGCTTAACCGGGGTTCCCGTAACAAAGTCACTGGGTTGTGGCTCGGCCTCGGTAGCGTTCTCTGCATGGGTGGCTCGTGCTCCTTGGGATACGAGGTGCCCCTTCCCACTGGGGTGGGATATTAGTCTCCCTGTGACAGCTGGAGGTCTCTGGTTTTTATGTGCTAGAAACGTAAAAGTTAAGTAAAACTTAGGCTTTTTTTTAATTACTGTTTTTTCACGCTGTGCTAAACAAAGGTGTTGACTTGTGGAGACAAATGTCCTCCTTGTTGTTCTTGGAAATGGTAGGTACAGGTCACCAGGCCTCTTCGCCAATTGCCTTTCCCGTCAGTCTCCTGCCGTCGGTGTTGACCCCGACAAAACATCTTCACAACTGTCTTTTACCAAGGGATCCAGCTCCATGTCCCATCGCCTTGAGCCCGTGGAGATGGGTGACAGGACGTGCCGAAGGACGCTGTTGCGTCCCTCTCGGGTGACTCTCTCCCTGACCGATAAGCGGGGTCCTGCTTTCCTTAGAGAGAAAAGCGTGAGGCTGTGGCTTCGCCAGGTCCTGCTGACG